CCGACCATCCGCATCATCCATTCTGCCACTTCGGTAACAAGATCGCTTTTCCCAGTCGGTAACATTTTTAAAAGAAAACTTTTGGGCAGGAAATAATACGCTACCACTGTGACAATCATCAGAGCGATCTCCACCACGCTAACAGCTGTCCAAGACAGCCGCAATCGACAGCAGAAGCAACGAGACCTCGAGCTTCCTTCGGATATCGACCGCGTAGATGGCAAAGTCGGCCAAGCATCGTACGAAGAAGAGGGATCGACAGCATCTACAGATCTTGGGGTTCCGTAGCTGCGATCCATTTGGAAAACAGTCCGGTGTTTTGAGAATAATCGCGGATGTCAGCTCTGAGAGTGGCAGCTCGATGAAGTATTTTTCATGTGCAGGACCACGTACTGTAGTTAGAGTAATCACCCACCCACTGGGTAAAGTGCGTGTATCACGTGACTACTAAATCACCTGATGAGAGTATAAATTCTCCAAACATCATCAAAATCAAGATGGTGGAAAGCTAAACTCACTTGACACATTTGACTGGTTTAGAATTTGAAAATTCGTGCGTTTCGCGCTTTCTTTTCACTCCCTTTTATCATAAATTAGATTTCTTTATAATACTTTATTTCGGTTCGGAATGCTTGAGGTATTAGCCAAAGTTTTGAGGCTGAGGTGATCACAAAGTAACAGCTCTCTTCAGAAAAATCCATCCGTCCCAAACGGGAAAAGAAACAACAAAGATGTCTGGCCACTATGTTCAGCTTTGCCCTAATCCTCTCCGGTTTGAGCCTGTGACCAAAGAAAACAGTGTATTTTTCGACGAAGCAAACCGGCAGGTAAGGAAATGAAAGATAGGGAGTCGTAGCTTGGGATCTCGTTCAGGGAACCTCTTACCCTCGGCCCACCACAGCGGAACCACACGTTAGAAGAAATTTCATATTTATTTTTTTAAGGCTTTTGAAGAGTACGTCATCATAAAAATTAGCGATAATAAAACATGAAGTTTCGGCGACGACATGTCACCATTATCAAATGCAAATTATAGTAAGTTCAGTAACGTTATATAAGAAGAAAGTGTGAAAATACATATTATATGTTTATTTTCGCCTCATTGATATGTATTTTCACACTTTCTTCTTATGTAACGTTACTGAACTTACTATAATTTGCATTTGATAATGGTGACATGTCGTCGCCGAAACTTCATGTTTTATTATCGCTAATTTTTATGATGAGGTACTCTTCAAAAGCCTTAAAAAAATAAATATGAAATTTCTTCTAACGTGTGGTTCCGCTGTGGTGGGCCGAGGGTAAGAGGTTCCCTGAACGAGATCCCAAGCTACGACTCCCTATCTTTAATTTCCTTACCTGCCGGTTTGCTTCGTCGAAAAATACACTGTTTTCTTTGGTCACAGGCTCAAACCGGAGAGGATTAGGGCAAAGCTGAACATAGTGGCCAGACATCTTTGTTGTTTCTTTTCCCGTTTGGGACGGATGGATTTTTCTGAAGAGAGCTGTTACTTTGTGATCACCTCAGCCTCAAAACTTTGGCTAATACCTCAAGCATTCCGAACCGAAATAAAGTATTATAAAGAAATCTAATTTATGATAAAAGGGAGTGAAAAGAAAGCGCGAAACGCACGAATTTTCAAATTCTAAACCAGTCAAATGGGTCAAGTGAGCTTAGCTTTCCACCATGTTGATTTTGATGATGTTTGGAGAATTTATACTCTCATCAGGTGATTTAGTAGTCACGTGATACACGCACTTTACCCAGTGGGTGGGTGATTACTTTGACTACAGTACGTGGTTCTGCACATGAAAAATATTTCATCGAGCTGCCACTCTCAGAGCTGACATCCGCGATTATTCTCAAAACACCGGACTGTTTTCCAAATGGATCGCAGCTACGGAACCCCAAGATCTGTAGATGCTGTCGATCCCTCTTCTTCGTACGATGCTTGGCCGACTTTGCCATCTACGCGGTCGATATCCGAAGGAAGCTCGAGGTCTCGTTGCTTCTGCTGTCGATTGCGGCTGTCTTGGACAGCTGTTAGCGTGGTGGAGATCGCTCTGATGATTGCCACAGTTGTAGCGTATTATTTCCTGCCCAAAAGTTTTCTTTTAAAAATGTTACCGACTGGGAAAAGCGATCTTGTTACCGAAGTGGCAGAATGGATGATGCGGATGGTCGGGAGTATGGTTAGCGTTCAGGTTAGGAAAACAATACTTTACCTTTCGTTTAATGAATCTAGAGTCCTTCTTGATTAAGAAAAGGACTCTCATCCACTATATCAATTACTGTGTTAATTGCAATTTTGCAGTTAACTATTTAAGGTGTCAAATATGAGGTCATAAAAGTTTCATGAAGTTTTATTAATGCTTCCGTTTTTCGTTCGTGATGTGGTTCGAAACTGAGACATTATTAGCGCAGTTCGCTTTCAATTCAGTGAGTTGTTTATATAAATCGAAGAAAAATTAGGCTTTCTTATACTAGTCGTTTGAGATAATAATTGAGCGATGGTTATTCGGAGTTGTTTTCCAAAGTTTCCATTGACAGCTTCGAGATTAATTATGACGAGTTAAGAACCCCCCACCTCTCTGTGAACCTGCCACCCTCCATGGGAAATCACATGAAATATGGCCAATTTGTAACATATCGAAGAAGAGAACACATGTCTTTCACATAAGTGGTTGATGCAGAACTGCATGCACTTATAGAATATCTGGTTTTTGTTTGTTTTTTTTTTTTTTTATTACAGTGACACATACAGGTTTCCTAATTCATCAGAGATTATTTTCTGTGTC